TTGTATAAATATTATTATATTATACATGACTTTTGTAAAAAAAACATAAAATAGAATACAACTATTATATTCCATATGAATAATTTATCAACGTTGAATTCTTTAATTATCCATGGTTTGGCTTTTTTCATTCATCATCTTTAGCTGTCCAAGTCGTCCACCCATAGCTTTCACGTCTTCTATTTTAAGAGTAATAGCAAATGTTGCAGCTGCAACATAACAGTGTGTTGTACGCACGCGCGACTAGTGTACTCGGACCGGTCTAACTTTTATCACCACACCTACTCCCTACTACGCAAATAGTAGTGGATATCGCTACTACCACCCGATCAGCTGTCCACACACTATACACCGCACACGCACATAACCGCATTATAATATAGTACAACATTGTGTAATAAACCAAAAAGAAAAAGAAAGAAAAAAAATTAGTAGAATTTAGAATTATAAGATGAGATGAAGGTGATGAAGTAGGCGGTAGGTATTGGGGACGAATGGTAATAAAAATTATTAAATAAGATGGTAAATGGCGGAGTAACACATGTTTAAATGTGGCAAGATATGTCGAAATTGAGTTCGACAGTAAATATGACCGTTTGAGAATAAAGCGTTTAATTATAAATAATGCGAAACCGTTACACAAAATCTATGACTGTATTATTATATGCAAGAGATTCTATACACTCTATATTTTTTTATAATTATAATCAAATGATGTATCTTTNATTTTTATAATTATAATCAAATAATGTATCTTTAGTTGACTTTGTAGAATGAGTATATTGTTTGAGAGATTATATTTTATTGAGAGATCGACACCAATATTTCTTAAATTTTCCTCTGGCCTGGCCAAAACAAGATTCAGAAATATTTATATCTATGTAAAAGATTTGTCAAGGCGGAATTGTGGTGGCCCAATGTGTCCCAGTGCTAAAATAAAGCACCTTGAAAGGATGCGGCACAATAATCACCAAGACAAAAATTAAACACTAAACACATATATTTGTAAGTTTCTCTGTGCTGTCTGCCGACGCGATGTTCGTTAAAACAAAGACATTAAACCTTAAAAGACTAGCTACCCAATACACATAGGCTTACAAATATATTCTAACCTAATACACCTAACTTTAAAAATATTTAATTGCAACCTTTACTCTGTCTGCCGGCGCGATGTTCGTTAGAACAAAGACATTAAACCTTAAAAGACTAGCTACCCAATAAGTATAGGATTGCAATACACTTAATCATATAATAAATATTTATCATTAACTGAGAAAATTAGAGTTGATTCGGTTTTATTATATATATAAAAAAAATGTTTTTTGTTTTAAAATATTAATTGATATTTATTTTCATGGTAAAATAAAATAAAATATTATTATTTAATGAACAAATTAAATTAAAGTAAAAGATTCACCAAAACAAAATTCACTTTAAAATCTCTAAGTGTCATTTAGTTTTAAAGAAAAAATATTCTAAGTCCAAATTAATTAGAAAAATCGACTAAGTCCCAGAGAATAAGAATCTTGAATAGAGTGTCGCAGATTTTGTGTATCTTAAAATCGCCGAAACAACTGATTTTAATAGGAAAAAATGGGTTTTTATAGTAGACGAGGGTCGTGTAGCGATCCCTAGTGTGATCTTAGAAACTGTAGATCTTAATTAATAGTTAAATGTGATTGGCTGGACTTAATTGAAAACCCACACATGGGCGTTACTTTTAATCTGTACGATAATCAGATTTAATTGACTAATTTATTGATTATTTTAAGTCTTAAATAAGGGAACCCTGTTTTGGTGATCTTGTGAATTCATAATATATGACATACATGTACAAAAGATAACATAATATAATATTTTAATATTATAAGTAATAATATAATATTACAATTGTATTGCGTAACAACCAGTATATACACATTGTTTTGTTTTTCTATTGTTGAATTTCGTATATTTTTTGAAAACGTAATTTAATTTTTTGTAACAGGAAGAAGTTATTTTTCTATCATAGCATTGATAATAAAATGTTTACAAAAATCTTGTTGCACTAATTGTTACTTCCTTAAAGCTACTAATTAGCTGACGGAAAGATTTATTGTTGCTACTAATTAGTAAAATTAAGCTAGTCAATTGTGATATTTAAATTTGAGTTACCAAATTGTAGTCTTAAGTTCATTTGTTATTATTGTGATCCTTGTTTTAGTGTTAGGTAGCATCTCTGGCCAGCAGCTCTGCGAATTGTGAGTACCATTGAAATTTATGTATTATTGATTTTTGTTTTCTTTTTCTCAATTTAGCGTAGTTATTATTGAATTTTATTATTGAATTTAATTTTGAATTAAATTTTGTTTATTATAATTATTGAACTGATTTAATACTGTCATCAAAATTGTAGAGTTTATTTTTTTTTGTTGTTATTCTGTTATATAGCTTAAGAGTACATATTTACATTATTTGTTGAGCCAAAAGGGCTAAAATTATCTAATCAAGTTATTCATTAAATTATTATTATTAATTNTTAGAGTACATATTTACATTATTTGTTGAGCCAAAAGGGCTAAAATTATCTAATCAAGTTATTCATTAAATTATTATTATTAATTGTTGTAAAAAGATTTGAATTATTTATTTACTTAGTTTAAGAGCACACACAAAACATATATACACACAGTACTCACTTGAGCACTACATAGATCACTGGTTGCTGCGCAGGCGACCCCTCCCACCACCAGTGATTCTATTTACATACACCACACTACGCAGCCTGATCGGTATTGGTGCAATTAGCCGGTTCGGGTACGTACTATAATATTTAGTGCCCCTGGCTCCAACAGCAATAGTAGTAATAGCAATAGCAACGGACAGATATGTTTTTCGAACAGCTATCAACGATCGACAATCTTTTTTNTAGAGATGTTAAGTTCGTGAACGAATAGTTCATTTGAACTATTCACTTAGATGAACTATTCTGAACTGTTTCAGTACCTGTAACTTAACAGTTCACAGTTCGAAAAAAATTGGTAGCAATGTATAAATGAAATAGTTCGCGAACTTCTTTAAAAATTCTTTGTGGTTCGTTATTCGAATTACTGTAAATGGTTAATAGCTGTTTACAATTAGATAACAAATAAATTATATTGTTAAAATGTTACACAGTTTTTAACTGTTTAACAATAAAATAAATTCATACTATGTACAAATATTAGATCAGATTTCTGATTTAACTTAGGACTACTGGTCAATATATCTACCTTGAATTAGGTGATAATGATAACATGAGCCATGAGGGTATTAATAATAATTTTTTCTTAGTTTATGATGTTCAGGTTAAGGGTTAGTTTATAACTTAATTGCCCATAAGTAGTGTGAACTACAACTGAACTGTGTACTGCTATACTAATAGTGATAAAATGAATAGTTCATTGCCAAACAATATCAGCATGATCAATAAAATTAGTGAACTTAAGAATAGTTCATTTGAACTATTCACTTGAATGAACTAT